ACTTTCCTTTGGAATGCTTACAATGTTGTTGCGAGATTGTTGTTACATGACCATTTCCTCTTTAGGCAGTTGTGTTTAGGTTGAAGCCTTCTTTCTTATCTCCTCAGGTAGTCTTTCGTTGTAGTACTTAGGGAGAACCCTTGACTCTCGTAAAGTTGTGGGCTTATTACGGACCTTTTTAATGTCCTTACTTGCCTATAATCATCCGTAGTTGCTTATTTCCATGCCCTTGTGCTTGTATGGTTGCTTCTAAACTGATATTTTGACTGCCTTCCTAGTGGCACTTTTTTTAATCCCCGTAACACTCATACGGTATCTTTAACTATCCCAACTTTTGTTTGAATATATCTCAAGTATTATAATAATATTCTTCGAAGCTGAATTCTCCATGTTAGGTTCTACTATGCTTATCATAAACGATCTGATGACTCGTCTGTAACCTCCTGTTTTGCCATAACTGGGATCTTACTAACCAATTACTAACTACTCGTTGGCCTATTCTCATACCAATATTCCTCGTAATATTTCTTGGGTTAATCCCTTTGTCTTAACTTATGTCTTGCACTGGCTCTTTATTTATTAATAACAGCTCGGGCAGGAATTTTCACTTCCTTTTTTTTGATGTCGTGCTTGCACAATATTCTTGAATCGTAGCGTATCTGTAAGATTTGGATAAGTGTCATCTCATTCCTCTTTCATTTATCGCATTCTTCCTTTACCACTCCATAGTCACTAGAATCACTTAACTCTGACTTAATGCCACATCACTCCATATTCCCCTCTTTAGGGGTGTACTAAAGCTGAAGCCATGAGGATCTACCTATAGTTGTTTTACCTCTTCATCTTTGATGTCGTTTCTCAACATCAATGATCCTTACTCGCCTTGCGACAATCCTTCTGTACTAAGGATGACAAATACCCTTACTCGCGAGGGTGACACTTTGCGTAACTAGCACATACAGTCTCTTAAGCTTAACTTTGCTCACATTGCTTGCTTTAGGGAAGCATCTCCCTGAATGAACATTCTCGGAATTCATCATGAATCTTCTTCTGTGATCCATTCTATTACCGCCAGAACAAAATCTGAAATTACCATGATGCCAAGTACTTTCCAATCATTCAGTCCTTAATTTATATTTAGTTTGTTTACCAGTCCATACTGATTTCTGCTACTCTAGGGATTAACTCTCCCCTCTGGTAGTCGCGTTGGAGTTACAAACTTATTTCTCGAAATGAGGATATGACTTTATGGCCTATATTCTTTTATGGTCTCAAGGCCTGTCATCTTTTGTCTTTTCTTTCACTTGATTGTAAACTCTGTAATACTGTCATCATTTTTTTTTCACCTACCGTTGTCATCCGTGTATCACATCTTACTTATAATACTTTATTAACTTTCTTCTCATCTCTCGCTAATTATCTATGTCCACTGCTTTACTCTGAAAACTCGAACAAAATATTCGTTTGCTTTTGGCTCCACTTGCTCCATCCCTTGGCTCTTCCAGTTGCCTAACATTCTTTCTTTGCTGGGGGCGGAAGCCACACTAAGGTAATATTTATTCCTTTAAGGTTTCCAGTGCTCATATCTAGCTTTAATATTTTAGGGTGCACCATCTAGGTGTCTCACGAGGATATCTATTAGCGCATTTGCAATATCCTTCAGAAATATCAACTAAAGCAAACAATCCATTCACTATTTTAGGCCACTCTAACCCCATCCAGATCATGATATCTTATCCTTTTCTTAATCTACACCTATTAGCCCCCAATATGGTATAACTAAGATGGGTGTGGCCCATTATACATACCCTCTGTTACTGTTGAATATAACTCAAAAAGCTTATGTTCCTCTACCTCAATCATAAACGTTGTTAACCTTCATTAACTAGGCGCCTCGTACCCTTCTTCATCTTGCTTCTTTTGCTTGTTGAAACTTGTATTTATCCTTTTAATCTCTCATTGTCTTTCACCATAAAGGTGGATAGGCATTCTTGCCTTAAGTCTCCTTATCAAGAGGCTTACACCTTTCAATACGCACATGATCTGTTGAATACCTTATATTTACTTATCATAAGCATGATACATAGTTGAGTTCCTCTAATTCAACACTTCCACAGCTATATCTCTTATCGATCATCTTTTTGAACATAGGCATCGTCTTATTACGAATAAAAATAGAAGCTCGGGACTTGAAATCTTATAAGTGAGCTCTACCACACGATCTAGAGTAAGAAGAAAGAGTGACAATCCTAAATGCCCTTTAGCCTCCTGCTTATAAGTGTGGTGCACGACACACCCATAAACAAGACTCTACTAGACACGACTTGTAGACTTCCTAGGATAGAACTGCTCTGATACCACTTTTGTCACGACCTAAACCGATGGGCCACAATNATTATATCATACCGGCCACTATGGGCAAAATCATCATCGTATACCAGTTGATCAGGTGGTGGTGCATATATAACGCCACAACCTTTTCCATATCCCATATATATATATTTACATATATACGCGTATATAACGCCGTAACCTTTTCTCATATCCCATATATATATATTTACATATATACGCGTATATAACGCCGTTTGAGTACATACATATATATGCATATATAACGTCGTTTGAATCATGTTTCAGCCACTGTGGGCAACATCATCATCATATACCAGCTGATCAGGTGGTGATGCGTATATAACGCCGTAACCTTTTCTCATATCCCATATATAAATATTTGCATATATACGCGTATATAACGTCATCTGGTCATAGGTCAATGCATATGAATGCAGTACATAAAAAGTACGTCAATAAAATCATTCGGAATGTCATAAGACCATTTTGCCTCTGAGTAATATTATAAAGTAAACTCTTTTCAACTTTCGTATTTTTCTGAGACCCATGAACAGATGATAAGACATTATAACACACGGAAATTCAAGAACACAGATATCTCTAATACTTCTATTAATAGAGTCATTCACGGGATTTGTGCATTTGCACGTTCCGTTCGTATCGTATGGATCATGCCAAAAGAAAGCAGGGATAACCTTAACATACCAAGGAGTAGGAAAAAATCCATATAATATTCTTGGAACAGATTGTACCGTACTCCTTTAGAACCACAAATTTTTGACGTTGCTACGGATTTAACAATTCTCGTTGGAATTGTTTGCAAAATTTTGTTGGAAGCCTTTTCTTTTAAGATCAGCTTAGCGTTCTTGCTGTTGAATATCAAGGATGAGGAGGCAAGACTTTTCATTTCAGTTTTGATCTTTGCCCAAGGTTGAATTAAACTTTTAAAAGAGATAAAAATTTTAAAAGAAACCAAACCTTTACATACACCTTTAGTGATTTAGTGTTTTACACGTAGATGCTAGGTGGCCCCTAACCTTATATGACTTAATTAGTCATATGCTTGGTAAGCTTTCTTGCTGCCACGTTGAAATTATTAATGGTTTTCCTCTTATTAGTTAATTAGGTAATGTTCTGTTACCCGGTAATTAACTAATTACCCAAAAAATTAAGAATTATTCCCACTTATTTAAAATATTACTCACTTTTCACATACCTTATACACCTTTATATTATGGTCACGTAGTACCTTGTATGACGCTAGTCCATAAATACCGGGTATTTTAGCTCGGGTCGTACCCCAACATGCCAAACTTCGACAAAATTCATTTTCTTCGATATTACTTACCCTCTTACCTTCACGAATTTACTCATCACTTATAATCCTTATAATCTCCAAATAATCTTTTTCTTGGACTGATGTCAATTACCTTACGACAAATTCAACGTACAACACTACAGGGTGCAACATCGTCATAATGTAGTACTGCGGGACGTGACATCTCACTTCCCGGATCTCATTAATTTATTTATGGCGTATTTTCATGTACGAAAATATGGGGTGTAACACTTACCCTCATGTTTAGCTGATTAATCAACTTGCATTTGTCTGAATCTTTATTTAAAAGTTCTAATTCAACTATCTTCCAGCACCATTCATTAGCTTGTTTCACCCTGTAATTAATAAAAAGATTGCTCTTTTCGTTAAAATAATAGCTTAAAGGTATCTTGGAAGTGGAAAACATGAGAAGGAGAACATACGTGAGTGACTTAACTTTAGAGAATCTAACTTGTTTGGTAAGGTGTAACACTAATCTAGCATAGTACTCCCTCGGCCATCAATGGTTGCAATTTAGTTGTTTGTTAAGGTGTGATACATGGATATTAAGTGAATTCTGCGTTCCGAGGCCTTAAAAACCTCTTTTAGCATCACCTCGATTTACGTGCGCAGTCCGGGCGCGTAGCCGGAAAGCCTATATGTGAAAATCTGTGAAAAATAATAAATTTTGACTATAAAATGAGTTAATTTGACTTCGGTCAACATTTTAGGTAAATGGACCTGGACCTGTGATTTGACGGTCCCGGAGGGTTCGTAGGAAAATATGCGACTTGGACGTATGCCCGAAATTGAATTCCGAGGTCCCAAGCCCGAGAAATGAATTTTTAATAAAATTATTTTCTGAAATTGTTTAAAGGATTTGGAAATGAATTTTGATTAGAACATGTTAGTATCGGGCTCATATTTTGGTTCTGGCACCCGGTACAAGTCTTATATGTGATTTAAGATAATTCTGTGAAGTTTGGTAAGAAACGGAATCCATTTGACGTGATTTGGACCTTAAATGCAAATTTGATGTTTAAAGAAGTTTTGAGAAATTTCATTAATTTTGAGGTTTAATTCATAGTTGTTGATGATATTTTAGTGATTTGAATGCACGAGCGAGTCCGTATGATGTTTTCAGGGTGGTGTGCATCTTTGGTATGGAGCTCCGAGGGCTCGGGTGAGTTTTGGATAGGCCGCGGGGTGAAATTTTGGAAATACGGAATTGCAGGCCTGCAGGCTTCGCATTTCCCAACCTTCCTTCGCAATTCCCAGTTCGCATTTCCCAACCTCCCTTTGTAATTCCCAGTTCGCATTTCCCAACCTCCCTTCACAATTCTCAGTTCGCATTTCCCAATCTCCCTTCGCAATTTCCAGTTCGCATTTCCCAACTTCCCTTCGCAATTCCCAAGCTTTGCGAACCCCTATTCGCATTTCCCATACTTGAGACCTACAACTTTTATACTTAGACGATTTTAAATCCATTTTTCATATCATCTCAAAACATAAACACACTAGAGCGATTTTTCAAAGGCTTTTGCTTCTCCAAATCAATTGTAAGTCATTTTTAGCTCATTTTCTTCAATCATTAACATCTTTTAACATGATTTCAACTTAAAATCAATGATTTTTATGGGGAAAATTGGGTGGTTTGGGTAGAACCTAGGTTTTTCAAAAATTGAGGATTTGGACCTCGATTTGAGGTTCGATTTCAAAATAAATTATATATTTGGGTTCGTGGGGGAATGGATAATCGGGTTTTGGGTCGAACCTCGGGTTTTGACCATGTGGGCTCGGGGGCAATTTTTGACTTTTTGGGTAAAACTTTAGAAAACTCATTTTCATGCATTGGGGTTGATTCATTTAGCGTTTATTAATGTAATTAAGTAACTTGTGACTAGATACGAGCGAATTGGTGGTGGAATCAATGGGTAAAGCTATAGTTGAATCGTGAATTGTGTTCGTGGCATCGAGGTAAGTGTTTGGTCTAACCTTAGCTTGAGGGATTAGGAGTTGTGTCTTATTTGCTACATGTTAATTGTGGAGTACGACGTACAGGCCTGGTGATGAGTATCTATACTTTGGTGTCAAGCATGCCCGTGAGTCTTGTATTATAATTGTTATGACTCTGTTGTGGTTTATTGCGCTTCATATGCTATTATCACCATTGTTCCCTTGCCGGGATGTTTGTTTGATATTAATGATCCCTTGTCGGGATGTTTGTTTTGATAGTATTGTTCCCTTGCCGGGATGTTTGTTTGATATTATTGTTCCTTGCCGGGATGTTGTTGAAATATCATTGTTCCCTTGCCGGGAAGTTATTATATTGCTCTTGTTCCCTTGTCGGGATTCCTTGTGACTATTGTTGGCTTGTAACTGGAGCGGGTGGTATGCCTACCACAAGATATAATGAAATGGGAGCGGGTGGTACACCTACCACAAGATATAATGAAATGAGAGTGGGCGATACACCTACCACAAGATGAATGAAATGGGAGCGGGTGGCACGCCTGCCACGAGATACATGAAATGGGAGCGGGTTGCACGCCTGCCACGAGATACAGAAAATGGGATCAGGTTGCACGCCTGCAACAAGATGTGAAAAGAAAGTGAAATTTGCGTTTGTTTTCCTTATTCTTGTTAGTGGTTGGATTTTGATTCCTTTATAATTCTCTTGATATTCTGTTTTTACCTGTTGTTCCCCGAAACATGTTTTTCCCTCCCATCTTTACTTGTTTATTCCTATTTTACTTTCCGTTGTATATTATATAACTGCACAGGTTTATTTGGTGGTCTGGTCCTAGCCCTATCACTACTTCGCTGAGGTTAGGATAGACACTTACCAACACATGATATTGTGCTAATACTACACTCTGCCCTATGTGCAGATCCCGGAGCAGCTCTTGGACCATAGTTGGAGGCTACCTTCAGTCCACGCGGAGATCCAAGGTAGACCTGCAGGCGTCCGCAGGCCCTGGCATCTCCTCTATCTTTTATTTCCTGTTTCATCTTTTTGCTTCAGAAACAGTATGTCTTTTATTCTCGGACCTTGTATTTAGCAGTCTTAGACCGTCTGTGACATTAGGTTTTGGGTGATTAAGGCTTAAGTAGTTCTAATAGCTACAAATTCAGATATTTTATTGTTTTTTTCCGCTTAATTAAATATTCCACTGTTTATACGTTATCGCTTTATATCTGTTAAATAGAATTAATTAGATAATGGAGTAATTAGTTTAAAGGATTGGCTTGCCTAACTCACATTAGTAGGCGCCATCACGACTCCCGAGGGTGGAAAATTTGGGTCGTGACAATATTTGTCTCATACACAGAATCCCAACCCTGTGGAATGATGACGTTTTACATCGAGCAGTTATAGAAAGCCAACCATAGCACAGTCATCTGATAGATCTTTTGAAGGACTAATTAATGGAACGAGCATAAAGATAGAGTGTCGTTCCACATGTCGATACCGGCAATAATAAAATTTATAGTAAGAGGAAAATCTGTCGACTTTAAAAATCCCGAGAGTTCAAGTCCCTCTGTATCCCCAAAATTACTATTTCACTACCCAACTATTTATCAGACCCCCTTTCTTTAGCGGTTCAAATTCCTTATCTTTCTCATTCACTCTATTCTTTTAGAAATAGATTTGAGCGTAAATGGCTTTCTCTTATCATTAAGTCTTGTGATACATATAATACACATATAAATGAACATCTTTGAACAAGGAATCCTTAATTGAATGATTCCCTATCCTGAAACCTATTTTTTTTTAAGATCACAATAATTTTGTGGCTTTGATAATAAAGATTAATCTAGTTTTGTCCTTTAATTGACATGCACACCAGTTGTCAAATAAAACGAGGATACTACATCGGGAAAAGATAGGATAGCTCAGTTGGTAGAGCAGAGGACCGAAAATTCTCGTGTGACCATTTCAAATCTTGTTCCTGGCACACGATTAATTTGCATGGGTCTCTCTTCCCTCAAATTAATTAATATGAATCAACATGCATATTCTTTTACAGTCTAGATGAGAACAATAGCTTAATTCAGTTTGGCGAGATATACCCCATCTATGTTCTAGATGGGTAGAGTTTCTTAGGTAAAATATCTAAAAGAATTGGATTCTATCTCCTCTCTTTTTCCTTATGTTCAAACGAATTTAAATACATAATACATATTCGAAAGGTTAAATTGGTTAATTGTTGAAAGGTTCAAAAGTCAAATTCGAATCTAGGGGAATTGAAAAAGAGAAGATTCAGCTCAGATCCAAAAGAAATAGAATTCAATATCTCTTTTTTCTTTGTCTTTTCTTTCATATTCAATTTCTTCATTCCAAATCCATCTCTTCCTTTATGTCTTTCTAGAACCCGTTTAAGTAGTGTGCGCTAGATTGTTGGTCTACAACCCCATCCTATAAGAAGAATAAGGAGAGGCTTATCAATGACCCCATCGAACCACTCTTATACTACTCCTTACCTCACACCAGAGTCCTACTCGAGACGAAGTACTTATCGTCCCCAAACCAAAAGGGATAAGGGAAAAAGTGAAGGTTTGTCCAGTTACAAAAATGACATAGTTGTTGAAACTGAAATCACTTCCTTAATCCTCCTTGTTATGTAATATGCCCCATCAATCTGTCTAAGATCCTGCATGTACTGATATGATACATATCTGCAGACTCTGTATATATAAAAGCAACACGATTACTTTATTTATGTTGGATTTTGCATTTGTTACTTGATGTTTGGCGATAATTCCATATTTTTTAGTGCATTACATACCTTACATTTTGGGGCTTTAATGCTAAACTATACTATATTTGTGCTTAATTGAGTTTATTTTATGTGTAGGTACGTTAAAGACGAAATCGGTAACAAAGTAAAGATTTTATGTGTATTTTATACACTACAAGAATGAAATTATGATTATTTCATCAGTGGGTATTTAATTACAAAGGAAGACATAAAATAAATCACAAGAGGAAAAAAAAATAACAATGGAAAAAGACAACAATTGAAGCAGCACACAAATGTAAAGGCAGCAGAAGCAAAAGCAGGCGAAGCGACATTTGCATCCTCGCGTTTGAGCTTGCGAGGCGAGGTACTTAGCTCGCGACAGAGCTCGCGTTGCGAGGCTTGAGGCGAGCTGGAGCGGGCGACAGAACTTGCGGCGCACGGTCTATAGCAAGCGTGTTCCCAGTTTTAAAAGCCTATTTTGTATCCTATTTGGTTTTGGACTTGGATATTTAGTTCCGGTCTTTTTCCTACACATATAAATAGTCATTAAACACCATTTTTAGAGGAGTTCTGTGACCGGAGGCAAGGACATCACGTGGACAACTTTTGGAGGAGAAAATCATAGAGTTCTTCATCCCTTTTTCTTTTCTTTGTAATTTGTTTATGCACAATACGTGGAAAATTGTTACTACGAACATGAGTGGCTAAGCACTCTACGTTCTAGGGTTGTGGTTGACATGATTATTAACGTTTATTAATTACATCCGGATTATCATCTTGTGGTTATTTCTTTAATTCTAGTTTTAATTTGTGAATTGTTGTAGCTACCAATTCACCCTACTATCTATGCTATGCTAGGGAAAGCCCTGTTTAGATTAGAGTAGAATTAGAGGGGGCTTGTTTCTGAACCCGTGGCACGGGGAACGATTTCAGTCGGAAATTATGAATTTATATTTATTTTTTAAAATAAATTAACAATTTGTTACAATTTACAACTAATTATTTAACTAAATAAAATTATTATTTTTCTATATTTCCGACCGAATTCGATCGGAACTTGAAAATAAAAAAAAATTAATAGTTACCGACCTATTTCGGTGGGAAATTAAAGTTTGACAGTCAACTTTGAAATTTCCGACCGATTTCGGTCGGTACACGTTTGCGACCATCATTTTCCCGACCAATTAAAATCGGTGGGTACACGTTTGCGACCATCATTTTCCCGACCAATTAAAATCGGTCGGAATTCGGTCTCAATTTTAGTCTTTGCTGGACTTTATGTTCGTTTGACTGATTCGCAGGCAACATACAGAGATGAATGATATGAAAGGAGTTCGTGAAATGGTAAATACAGATTCACCGGACGCTTTTGGAAGGTCGCGCGCATACATGCGAATGAAGCCTCCTACTTATAATTAACTATAGAGTATGTTCTTGCCTGAGCTCTCTGAAGTGGATCATATCTCTTTGTCCACATACAGTGGATGTTATCATAAAAATCTGCAAAAATCTTTGGTAAGTACAGGTTGATCCTAGCCTTGTTTACTTTGGTAAGTACTGGTGTGAGTGTCCGACACGGGTAAGGATATAGGGGTCGGATCCTTTGAGATGCAAATCCAAGGGTTCGGGGATACGGATCCTAGTACGGACTCGTGTGCAAAAAATTAATTCAAAAAAAATAAAAGTAGCCTAGAAATAGAAAGAAGCCACTCCTCAACTACTCTGCTTTTTGTGAATATATCCTATGTCCGTAAATCAAATGTTGCACCTTCATTTCCTCTGTTAATTAAAAGTTTCCAGACATTTCAGCTCATATTTGTTAATAGAAAGTTCTAACAAAAATCATACAGTCATGTCTTTGGATTAAAAGGTATGTCAGAAACAAAGCCAATAAGAAAAGCTGAAGTACCTATTTTAACATAGTCACTATTCTTTCTTGTACCGTACATAGACACAAATTACATATAGTGCCATATCAAAATATATAAAGTTATATTACATCTAGGATTGACTACATCATAAGAACAATATATATTAGCAATTGAAAAAAAAAATATTCGCACTGAAATACTACTACATACAAAAATACAGAAATTTTAATGAAGAACCAACTCAAATTTTATTACCACTAGAAAAGAGCCTGTCGAAGAATGTATACATATACAGGTTAGCATTAATATTAGCTGTCTGTGGCTCCAACATCTAGTAGACAACCCAAAGTAGTTGGTCATCCTTTGCAGAACAACCTTGTTGTTGTTACACATCGTCGTTGATTCTCATTGTCTATCTGGACAACACTCAGAAGTTGCTCGTCATCCTTTGCATCATAACCTTATTGTCATGTGTTGTTGATCATCACCATCCTTCTGGACAACACTCAGATACATCTAGATACATCTTCTAACATCCGATTAAACTCATCTAACTCCATTATATCCCATGGATCCAAGCCAAGCACATCTTCAGGCACCGACTGATCAAAATTGTTGAGCATGGCTGTGGCTTCAACAGAATGTTGTCCACAAGTATAAGTCACCTCTGGTTCTAGTACTGCTGCTAATGGCTCGACAATATCCGCTGCTACATCAACCTCGGGTACACAATCTAATATCTGATTTAATTTGTCCAATTCCTGTCCATCCCATTGATATAAGTAGTCACGAACTTCAGCTGGTTCGGCCACTACTTGTAATGGTTCATCAACACTATTATTCATCACCATTGATTCTTGAAAAGCCATCGTATCATAGTGTTCCAAATTCTTGCACATATTATAATAACCCTTGCAATTATTAGTAGCCAACAAGTCATCAACAGAACTTGTTACCTCATCCGTTCCTTCGGAAACATTATTCAACGTTGTTATTGTTGAAGTTTCGGATGAACTGTTAACGTGCTTCAACTTCTTGATGGCGCAGAGAACATAATCTCTACGGTCTTGGTCGAACTTGTGAAGAATAACCTTAGACAACTCGTACTCCTTCATGAGCCAATGTCCATCTTTCTGATCTTCAGGGTAAAACTCTTTATTCTTGTAAGACAAATTTGTCTTGTATCCAATATTAACCACTGAAGATGCGTTTCCCATATTTTTGTAGTGAACTGGTTTCCCCTTGTTGTCCTGTTTCCAAGTTCCCTTGTTTCCGACAGAACGATGATACCTCGCGTTGCTTTTCTTCTTCAGCTTTGTGATGAAATAGCGATAACTGGTGTTGTCCTCATCATCACCACAGGGTACTCCGTCGTCGTAAATCTCCCAAGGTTCTTGTTTGCCATAGACGTCAACGTTAGTGGTAATAAATCCAGCATCATGCAACTCTTGTCCAGCGACGAATCTCAACAAGTACGTAAGTCCTTCTGAATCGGTGGGACGGAAACGGAAACCCTCTTGACCAAGCTGCTCCATAAGAACGTAACTTTGTTCTGAATATTTTAGCTTTGAATGACAATGAAACAAAATTAAACTGGGAAGAGAGCGAATGAGGTTTGAGAGTATTACGTATACTGAATTTATAGGAATTATTTCTTAGGCAGCAAGTAGGGCTTACATTCGTTAATTGTTTCTTTAACCCAAAGTAACAACTTAATTATGGAAACTTTTTGATCGTGGAAATTATTTATGGAAAATTTTTGTTTTACAATCACAAGAAGTAGTTTCCGTTAGTTAATTACTCCATGTTTCTTCCGCCCAGAAGCAATAATATGGTAATTAACATTCTTTTTCACAAATATATATGGAAAGTTTCTCAGTCTCCATTTAGGAAATTGAGTGTGCAACAAGTAGGTTTCATTGGTTAATATTATTTTCTTTCGCCCAAAGCAACAATATGGTAATTTTCTTTTCCATGAATACATATGGAAAGTTTCTCAATCTACGTTGGGAATTAAATGGGCAACAAGTGTGTGTTAATTTAATTTCTTCCCATTGAAAATTTTCTTTTTAGGTCTTTTGAATATTGTATATGATTGTTAACCTTTTATTGGACAAAAATAGTACTAAATGGTATCCTATGGCTCGTAAACATTTTTATATTTTGGTATGTTTCTGTAAATGTCTCAATTTAATAAATATGCTGGTAGACAAATAGGGTCAACTAATAAATTGAGAAATATATATTTTAGTAGCTCTCAAAAATAATAGCAGACGAAATGTATATTTTTATGTATGGGTATTATATTTTATATTTTTGACTAGCTAATGCAATTAATTTCGGCCGATCTATTAATTTTCTATTTTGCCCAACTAAATTTTTATAGCAACATTTGGTCAAAGATGCTGAATTGCTTAGTGAATTTCAATTTTCAATTACATGTGCAGAGTGGATTCCTAATTTGCAACGAGAGATGACTTCAATCCCTTGAGAAATCTCATACTTTAAATATTGTCTTGGAGAAATTTTGGGGTATTATCACTTTTAACCCGTGCCAGAAACTATTACATTTAGTAGCCGAAAAGAGTATAAAATTTGTATATAACATACATAATGTATATATATACAAAAAATATATAAATTTTATACATTTTTCGGCTATTATTTTTACAGCGGCGATACAGTATCATTTTTCCAGAAATATTCGTGATTTTTGTCCAAAAAGAAAATGTTTACATAATAATATCGGGTTAATCTGTACATACATACCATATGGAATTTTCAACTATATATTACAACTTTACAAGGGTTACTTTGTGGAGAGTACCCATAAGATTTGTTAAACATAGATAGGTTAAAACTATACTAAAATTAGTCCTTTTTTTTCTTACCGATATATCAAAAAGCTTATTTTTGGCTCACAAGAGCTAAGTTAATATACCATAACAAATATATTTCCTCCATTACCACCTCTTTAATAAGTGCACACTATCTCCCGCTAATATATTTTTCTGCTAACTCTGTCCATCANTATATATATATATATATCTAAGGCACTATAAGTTATATATAAGTATATATATATAAGCTATATATTATATGAGGCAATATATAATTATATATACACACAATACACCCCTATATATACATACTATACATACTATATATATATAGCTATATATAGGCAATTTATATTAATATATACATATATAGTTTACAAGAAATTGCCTTAGATAAAAAAAAATAGTCCGGAATGAAAAAATCCATTAGGCCCGTGGGCCCAGCCCATTTAGCCCGGGACCAGGTGGGCTTAGGACCACCCTGGGCCGGTTCCACCCATTGAGACCGTGAAGACCGGGACCGTTTGGCCCGGCCCGGCCCGTTTGGGCCCAGCCCACAATACAACCTTATTTGTGAGTGGGAAATTTTTTTAAAAAAAATTTTGAAGTTTTTTTATTTTTAAAAAATTCATTTTCGAAAAATTTCTAAATTTTTGACAAACACATTTTTTTAAAAAAATTCGAAAAAAAAGAATCTTTTTTTATTAAAAAGGAAACGGGCCCTTAATTCCTTTTTTACTGGAAATTTTATTAAAATTGGAGAAAGTTACGCTTATGGTCTGCGGGGATTTGCATTATTCCTGATTGGTGCAGAGATTTGCATTACTAATGTAGGGTAATGGCTTCGACAGGATTGGATACTGAGAATATAATTTTAAAAAGCCCGAAAACTGAAATGAAGACAAATTACGTGATGGCCAGGATTAATTCTTGATTAATGAAGCTGGACGGCTCAGATTTAAGCTGCTAGATGGCAGATAGCAAGAAGTCCCGTTAAGGATGTTCAAACTTTTTTTTTTTTTTAGCAAACAAGAAATATATATATTAATAACTAAGTAGCGTTCAGTAAATGACTTGCATACTTGGTGTCACTGAGGACACTTTGATTTCCTAAGCTTGCTAGAGTATTGCAAGCATCAGAAGATAGAAAATCAAGTCTGGTTGATGAAGTGTGGCCATGAGACCAGAGCGTGATTAACCGCTTCGGTGGCCCTTGGGCTTCTACGCAGAATGGATGTTCAAACATTAACCAAGTCAATAAAGGTTTTTGTTGATGAATGGTGTATCATAGAACTATAATTTTATAAATTAAAATTAGCATAAAAAAACAAACAATAGAAATTTTACAAATAAAAGTAAGCATAAAACCAAAGGAAAGAGAGAGTCGAGACGATTTGTAGTTTGTACAGAAAAAGAAATCTTTGTAGAGCTTGACTTTAAATTATAAAACTTAGTTAAGAAATAACTTTTAATTAAAAAACTACTTTAAAAATTAGTTGTTTATTTTTTATACAAATTTTAAATTTTAAGAGTTACTTTACTAGAAATTTTGTTAGATTAAAAAAGAGTCAAATAGACCACACATGATGGTATCCGTTACAGTTTGGCAAACAAAATGGGCAGACGACTTTGAACTAGTAAATAATACATCCCTTTGAAAAGGGTTAATTTCACTAAGGGTCACTTAACTATGTTTCAATTTTACTAAAGTTACTCAACTATTTTTTGTCACTTAAAAGTAACTAAACTTTTACATTTGTCACTTAAAAGTCATTTTGGCTCAAAACTCTACCATAAATATGACATGGCATAAAATTTAATGAGAAAAATCCAAAAATAAATGCTACATAAGCTTAAATGGACTATACCCACTTTTACTAAATATCTAAGAAATAAAGAAAAGAATTAATGTTTGAGACCATTGTTATCGGGACCGTATTTTGGTTCCGGAGGAACCCCTCCTCCACCTTCTCCCTCAAATTCATCCTCAAGTACTCCACCCAGTGAATCTCCAAAACCTAGGTTTCGAAGGCAGAAAATGCTTGCCCGAAAAATTGTAGCATCTGGGGCTTTGAGGATGGTTTTAAACGAAAGGTTGAAAGCTAGACAAGTGAAAGAAAGTCCAGCTCAAAATTCTGATTCTAGCTCTGAGACTGAATCTTTTCAATCTGTGACTGAGGGAGATGGACATGGGTCTTATGACTTTGAGAACACTCAAGAATTCCCTACTGAGGTAAGTTCATCTGTTATTGAAAAATTAGAAATTGTTTTGTTCTGGTTGGACCCATTAGGTTGTTATGTTGGCTGAGATTAGTAGGAGTGGAAGTAAAAAGAAGTTTGAAAAAGAGAGAGAGGGTGTATGTGGAAAAGAGAAGGGAAATGGGAAGGGATCAGTTCTTGCTATATGTGGGGTTGCACAAGAGAGGTTAGAAGAGAGTGGCATGAAGTCAGGGGGAAGTGGGTCTGGGGAGGCTGCTGAGGGGTTGGTTCATCTGAGCAAAAGGAGAGATGAACCCGTTTCATCTACTGAAGAGACCCTAGCTGATCTACTAAGAAAGATTGGGGAAAGTTATGACCCAAAGAAATGCAAAGCTACCACACCAAAAGCCTCAAATGTTCCCAAGTCATCCAAGAAAAGAAAAACTCCATCCACAAAACCTACTGCCTCTTCAATGCCTAAGGGAAGAGCCACAAGAAGCAGGGTAAAACAAAGTAAAGCTGACTTACAAAAGGCTCTAGAAGAAAGCAAGAAAAAGAAAATGGAGAAGGGAAAGGGAAAGGTTGCAGAATCCTCTTAGGTTGTAGATGAAGAGGATTTCTTTTGTCTAAACAATTGCAATAGGTTGTCTGTAATTGCATGTTTATCGTGAAAATAGACTCTTATTAGCCTTATTATTATTATCGTATGCTTATGATGCATTAATATGTTATGTAAGATGAATACAATACTATTTTAATTTGATCACTAGAAAATTATAGATATGTTATGTGAGTTGGATACAGACGTATTTTAACTTCAGTAGATTTATAAAACGACTTAGATGGGGCATACAGACAAGATAAGAATTTTTTTAGTATAGAATAATTATAAAATAGGCATTATGTAACACAAAGGCAAGAATTTTGTAGTATAAGATAATCATTTTAAATTAATGCGAAATTTAATTTTTTTTTAATTGAATGCATTTGGGTTATGAGTCAAATCACATTAAGGAAGAAATGGATCTAAAGTGGGTATAATCCATTTAAGTTTATGTGGCATTTATTTTTTGATATTTCTCATTAAATTTTATGCCATGTTATATTTATGGTCGGGGTTTGAGCCAAAATAACTTTTAAGTGACAATATGAAAGTTTAGTTACTTTTAAGTGACAAAAAATAATTGAGTGAATTTAGTGCAATTAAATTTAGTTGAGTGACCACCAGTGAAATTAACCCATTTGAACACCCTGGACCGTTGGACTGCGTCACTCAACTGTGTTAAGGTTGCTCAAAATATAATATATATAATCATATAAAGTAGTATATTTGAATTATATATACAGTATAATTTCCTGGTGACCTTAACCACCCTTCGTATGGTGTGGCTACGCCATTGTTGCTAAAGTAAAGAAAGGTACAACTTCTCTCTCTATTATATTCTATATTCAACTCGAACCTATGATTGTTCGTGGGAGTTGATTGATTAGATTCT